CTGTGCCATCCCCTCTGCAGCAGCCATGACAGGGAGAGGCTCCCAGAGTTGGTGAGGAGCTTGCACCCCATCACAGCCAGGTCCCAGCTCTGAGTGGCCCCTTCCTCTCCTCTCCCCAGAGCAACGGGAAGCCTGCCATCGAGGCGTCCCAGTTTCTGGAGTGGGCCAACCTGGAGCCGCAGTCCATGGTGTGGCTGGCCGTGCTGCACCGGGTGACCATGGCTGAGCAGGTGAAGCACCAGACCAAGTGCTCCGTCTGCCGGCAGTGCCCCATCAAGGGCTTCAGGTAGGGGTTGTGATATGGGACCTTGGCCCCCAAGGAAAGTGCATGGTGTCCTGCAGGGGGGAGCTGAATTTGCTCTGAGCTGTTGGGGGAACTGAGAGCTCTGGAGCAGCAGTATTTCAGGCAGGTCAGACCAGGCACCAGCACAGGGGAAGGAGCAGAATGCTTTTCTGGTGACTTCAGCCATCAGCATCATGGGTTCAGTCGGGTGTGAGAGCAACACAGACCATCTCTGTCCCCTGCTGAGCTCTCCTTGGGCTCCAAAATGATGTGGTCTTGCTGACTCTCACTGCCTCCTTATGGCCTCTTGATCTCTCCAGGTATCGGAGCCTGAAGCAGTTCAATGTGGATATCTGCCAGACTTGCTTCCTCACCGGGCGTGCCAGCAAGGGCAACAAGCTGCACTACCCCATCATGGAGTACTACACCCCGGTACGGAGCTGGGCTGGGAGGGTCTTGGCTCAGAGCAGGTGCCCATTGATGGCAGTAGCCTTGCGACATTGAGGCTGGTGCGGCCCCAGAAGTAGATCCCTTCTGTGTTTTTGTTCCCCTTCCGTATGCTGGAAATTGCCTGTGTCCCTGCTATTCTGGGACTTGTGCTGAGCAGGATGCATGGCATCCACTGATGCCCAGCTTGGCTTGTGCCAGGCCCCGTGACAGGCTGACAGAGCTCTTGTGTGCCCTCCTTGCTTCCTCAGTTGTCTGCTTCTTCCTCTGTGGAGCTTTTGCCCAGCCTGAGGGGAGTTCTTTCCTGTGTATGCTGATCTGTGGTCGCCCACTTTTCATTAAGCAGCACCTTGATGATGTTTGTGTGTCTGCAGACCACATCCAGTGAGAACATGAGAGACTTTGCCACGACGCTGAAGAACAAGTTTCGGTCCAAGCAGTACTTCAGCAAGCATCCGCAGAGAGGTTACCTGCCTGTCCAGTCCGTACTTGAGGCTGACTTCTCGGAGACGTGAGTTGACTGGGCCCCAGGCTGTGCCTTTTGACCCTGCCTGATGTGTAGGCTCCATGGATGGAAACAGCATCTCAGCTGCAAGAAAGGGCTCCCATGGGAGGGCCAGAGGAGGCACTTGCTTCAGGGGTGGTACGGCACCTAGTTCTTGAAGGACCAGAAATTTTGGTCTCCCTCTCCAGCCTGTCCCTGGCTCTTCTCAGCCCAGGTGACAACAGGGCAGCTACTCCAAGCCCTAGCTTTGAGCAAGCACTGCCAAGCCTTACTGACCAGTGTGCATCTCTTCCAGACCAGCCTCCTCCCCGATGTTACCGCATGCCGACACCCATTCCCGGATCGAGCACTTTGCCAGCAGGTATCACCACTGGGCACTGTTATCACACCAGGGCACGGAGCATGACTCCAATGGGTGTGGACGGGTTTTGGGGCAGACACATGGTGAGCTTCTTCTGCCTGCAGCCCCCTCCACGCTTCCCAGCATACTGCCTGACAGTGGCAGTGGCTGCCTGCGGTGGCTCCAGCTGCAGTGCCATTGGGAAGAGGCAGCTGCAGGGCCGGGCAAACCTGCCTTCACCACTTTGCCCCTGCCTGGGACACGGCTGATGCCATGCAAATTGGCAGCAAACACCATGCATTTGACAGCAGATGTCTTAGTGATGAAGCAGCCTCCATGCACCCTCCT